ATCTGATGAAACACTATTATAGTTCACTTCCCATACAACACGGCCGGTCATGTTGTAAACTATACATACACCTAATTGAAAAAAATTGTCGGGTTCAAAAAGGTTCCATCATCAAGCTAAGACCAAAAAGGAGCATTGGAAAGAAAAGATTACGAGTATAAAACAGAGTTTCAGAGTGCCATATGATTGTCTACACTGTATAAAAGGACCTTCACTACGAGTAATGCTACAATGTAACATTTTTAGGCAAACATCATTTGGATTTCTAGGTAATTAAAAAACCCTTTGGTGTTGGCTTCAATGATATGACTTTTAGGTGTAATAACCACCATGATAATAAAAAACTTGCATACCTTCCATTCGTAATTCTCTCGTATTCTACCGGTTCTTTCAGCTGGCATTACGATTTCTTCAGTTCTATTGCAAGGTAAAAAATTACATTTACTACTAAAATTGCTAATAATTATCAATTTACTAGACCATCGGCTGTAGTACAACATAACACTACTTTCAAAAGCAATGACATTGGAATTCCTTTAATTCTAGAAACTCTGGTTGAATAATGTAACTATTTCATGTCTTTAGAGTGAAATCATTTAACCCGTGAAACAAAATTTAACTATAAAGTGTGATAGTCTAATACCCACAAAAAAAATCAATACAATTAGAACATATTAGCGTATTAGTGTAATATCTATTCCACTATTTTTTTCATATAGAGTGTAAAGTGAAGTAAATAAACCCGTGAAACAAACAATGACTATTAAATGTGACAGTCACAAAGACACAAAAGAAAACAATGCAAATAGAAGGTACTAAGGTGTATTAGAGTAATAGAGTACAAAAATTAAATGTGTGCAATAATCTCCATTATTTACTACAAAATAGTGTTAATTAAACAATAGAAAACAATAGAATTAGCATAATTTAGTGGTATTTATGTTGCACAGTTTTAGTGTTTGTACTCTATCTATTTCACAGGTTGACTGAGTTCATTCTAATGAGTCTATTTTTAGCATAGTGATACAAAGCACTTGTACCTAATAGCGTGATAGATTTCTTCCAGCATGGAGGCAGGAAAGTCAACTCCACCATTGGTTTTTCGAAGATTGCGCTTAAAATCCTAAAACAAAACAAACAATGAGTACAAAATGAACCATTGCCCTAGTCCTTCTCTGATTTCCCACCACAGGCAACCCATACATTACCTCGACGGTCATTGGTTTTTGCTGTTTGATGTTCGTGTTGTGCTGGTCGACGTTTAACATGATGACAGCATATGTAAGAGTGAATACAGAGTCTTTATTGGCGTATACATCAGGGTTACTTTCCTAGAAACACAAACAGATTATTCAATTAATACAAATGCGATGAAAAGAAGACATTTTACACAGGATTCCTGCTACATTTTCAGTACAAAATTCCAGGACTTTTCAAGTACATTTTTTAAGTACAAAATGTGATTTTCAAGTACTATTTTTGAAGTTTGCGAACGTTTCAAGTGGCGATTTTCAAAAATTGCCACATTTAAATCCAAAAGCTAGCAACATGTCAATTTCATCATATTCAAGGAATTTTCCAGGAGCGATTTTTCCCATTTTCAAGGGATTTTCAAGCGCCCTTGAAAACGTGTTTTCAATTCAAGGACTTTTCAAAGATTTCAAGGAGTAGCACGAATCCTGTCTACAAGATGAACAAAAGCAACAAGAAATGCTTACAAAGAAATTCTCAGAGAACGATTCCATGATGTGCTC